ATTTTAAGCTATTTGGAGTATAATATCTTTTCTAGGAAACAGAAGTGGGTTTTGAAGTCTGTTCTTTCATTTATGCAGTCAAAATTGAACTATATTAATAAATGTATAAAACCAATATGCATCACTGCGATGAAGTATAACTTCTTTTGTTGGTATGATAGCACACTAAGGTTACAAAACATATAATTGAGGTTTTCTGTAGCTGGCCCACTGGAAGCCAAACTGTTGGTTTTGTTCTACATCAGAAGTATTTTTGATCAGATAATTACACCTACATTACACTGTTCATTGGAGGTTCAAAATTAGGTGGATTCAAAAGGAGCCCTTTCAGGCATGCAAATTTAGTGCAATTCACCTGTTAAACCTGTATTGAATAGACAGCTCAAAACAATCTGTGGAAAACTGTGTCACTGAGTTGTTAGTAAAGGTAAATCTTTATGTATGGAAGCTAATAAAGCTGTTGACACAGGCAATATTCCAAATAGAAGCACTGTGTCACATTCTAGATGGAATATTTTGTGTGTGATTATGAAAAGAGACAGAAGAAACTAAGACTGCAAAACAAATACGGCCCTTTAAAAGCCTTTGTTTCCCCCAAGAATTCATATTCATTTTGTGCTAAAGAGGGGCCAAACCAAAACTGAAATTCTGAACAAACCAGACTCCAGGATGACTAGTTCTGAAACAGCTTCTGCCTTGAGCCAATTTTCTGCATATGGATATAACAGTTGGTTTCACTTATAGGATAATAGGATGATAGGAAAGTAGGGCTGGGAGGGACCTCATGAGATCATCTAGTCCAGCTCCCTGATCAAGGAAGGATTGTCCCTGACTAAACCATCCCAACTAAGGGCCTGTTCAACCTGCTTTTCAAAATTTCTAGGGATGGAGGCTCAATGGCTTCTCTAGCTGTTCCAATGCTTGATCACCCCCATAGTCAGAAAGTTCCTCCTAACCTCCAACCTAAATTTCTTCTGCTGCAGCTTGAGGCCATTGCTCCTAGCCCTATCCCCTACAGCCACAGAGAAAAGACTGTTTCCATCCTTTCTATGATTGCCCTTGAGGTGTTTGAAGACTGTTATCAAATCTCACCTCAGTCTCCTTTTCCAGACTAAATAAGCCTAGCTGTTTTACACTTTCCTCATAAGTCTTGCTTCCCAAGCCCCTAATCATTTTTGTTGCTTTGCGCTGAACTCTCCAATTCATCCACATCCTTTTTAAAGCGTGGGGCCCAAAACTGGACACAATATTTCGGAGAAGATGTCACCAGTACCGAATAAAATGGAAGACAAGGTTCCTTGGGTGAATGTGATATCTTTTATTAGACCAACCCAAATAGTTGGAAAATAATTATTAAGCAAGCTTTTGGGTTCAAAAACCCTTCGTCAGGCTAAGGAAGTTTCAGCAGTTGGTGTGTGCTCTTCCTGGATGGAATGAAAAGTAAAGCCAGCGGCTGGGCTGGTATGCATATAAGACAGGTAGTCAGTGAAAATGTAGATTGAGAGGTCAATGGGTGAGAGACTCCTCAATCTACATTTTCACTGACTACCTGTCTTGTATGCATACCAGCCCAGCCGCTGGCTTCTTTACTTTTCATTCCATCCAGGAAGAGCACACACCAACTGCTGAAACTTCCTTAGCCTGACAAATGGTTTTTGAACCCGAAAGCTTGCTTAATAATTATTTTCCAACTATTTGGGTTGGTCTAATAAAAGATATCACATTCACCCAAGGAACCTTGTCTTCCATTTTATTCGGTACTGGTGACATCTTCTCCGAAATATTGTGTCCAGTTTTGGGCCCCACGCTTTAAAAAATATGCTGTTTGCTTTTTTTTTTTTTTTTTTTTTTTGCTACAAGAGCACACTGTTGGCTCAGCTTATGGTCTACT